GGGGGGGGGGGGGTTTTTTTTTTTCCCCCCCCCCCCCCAAAAAAATTTTAAAACCGGTTCCTTTTCCCTTTTTTTTTTTTTTTTTTCCTTTTTTCCCCCCTTTTGGCAAGGTTTGTTTGGGTTTTTGGGTTTTTTTCCAAATTTTTTTTTTGGCCCCGGCCCCCCCCCCCCCCCTTTTCCCTTTTCCCGCCCCCGCCTTACCCCTTGACTCCCCCCCCCCCCCTTGTGGTTGCAGCTGCTACCTTTGTGATTGTGTGGATGTACTGGATGAGGTGCATGCGCTGCCTTGTCGGATACATGGCGATGAGCTCGGCCGTCCTGCTGGGAGTAATGGGAGGCGCGGTGTGGGCGGCGGCCCTGGAAGTGTACCAGCTCCCCTGCGACGCGTTCACGTACTACGGGGTGCTGTGGAATTTCGCGGTGGTCGGGGTCGTGGCCATATTCTACCAGAAGGTGATGCTTCTGTCGTGGTTGGGCGTGGTTGGGTGGGCGGTGGTGCCTTAACGTACCGTGTTCGTGCTATTTTGGTAGTTGGTGGCTATCTCCTGTGTTGTCTGACGGGCGTGACGAGGTTGTGTGTGTGTGTGTGTGTGTGTGTGTGTGTGTGTGTGTGTGCGCGCGCGCGCGCGCGCGTGTCTTTCTTTGTTAGCATCGACCGCGCTAACCGGCTGACCAAGGAAAAGTCGGCAGTCTCACTACGGTGGAAAACGCGATCTAGGACCCTATGGCTGAGCGTCATGGGGGAGTCTAGGCTACTCTCCAGATTGAAGACAGATACCTTAGCACTAACAGAAGAAAGCTGCACGTGTTTATCGTGGGTTTGTGTGTGGGGGTGTTTTGTTTTTTTTTCGGGATCTGTCGTGGTCTGCTTTACCTGACTGCCAGCGCCATGTTCTAGTCCTGTGTTGTTGGGTGATGGGGTGGTACGGCGTGTATACAACAGTGAGTATGTAGATGGGTCGGCGGTGGATTCACTTGCGGGCGTCTTGGCTTTGGCGCCATATTCTGACGACAAACGTATTAGGAAGCCAACTCCGGTGTTGCCTCTCGGCTGCTTGTCACGAGATTGTGTGAGGCGATACGACGTTTTGTCCTGCCTCCAGGGGTCTTGATTTTTTCCGCTGGCACGGACGATTTTTCATCGGCCAGCCCGTTAGCGCGGTCGATGCTACATAGTCTATGGACAGACACATAGAGGAGCACTTCGTCTCGTGGCACTACTCGCCCTCCGTATAGCTTCTTCTCGTGCTTTTCGGCGAACGAGCGGTGTACTTCAAGCAACGGACCAGCCTCTGAAGCGGTGACTTTACGCTATGTACGAGGACGTGTCTTCCTTTAGTCCGCGCTTAAACGGAGATGTGTGTCCAACTTCAACTAGCGGAGGCGATCACCCAATGGGAGGCACGCAGTCCCCCCCCCCCCCCTGCTACGCAATCCCTTCCTCCTTCTGAAGCTCCCTCCCGACTCCCTGCCGTGCCTTTGGTGCGCTTGGACTTTTCAACAGGGCATCCCGACGGTCGTGACGCAAGCCTACCTGGTGGCCACCAGCATCATAATGGCTTGGCAGCTCAGGTGACATGTTTTCGATCAGAAGCCTTGGCGAGGATATTGATCATTAAGCTTGGTTTTAGTAGGGATAGGGATAGGGATAAGGATACGAGCTCCCCCCTTTCTATTTCATGGTAGATCAATGCTAAAATCTTCGCCAAGGCGATCCCACAAGAGACGGCTGTATTATAGTTCATTTTTGGCCTTAAATGCGCTGGGGACATGTATCTCTTGTGTGTTTTGAGCCATTTTGGTCGACCATTTGTCCGTCTTCCCTTGTTATGTTTGTCGAATGTCCGTCTTCCCTTGTTGTTTTTGTCGAATGCCCGTCTTCCCTTGTTATTTTTGCCGAATGTCCGTCTTCCCTTGATATGTTTGTCGAATGCCCGTCTTCCCTTGTTATGGTTGTCGAATGTCCGTCTTCCCTTGATATTTTTGTCGAATGTCCGTCTTCCCTTGTTATTTTTGCCGAATGTCTTGTCCTCGGCTGTTTTTTTGCTCTTGGTTCCGACAATGACAACGCGGCGTGTACCCTGCGGCTGAACGACATACACACCAACGACAACGCTGCGGCTTGCCTTTAAAACCTCGTTTTGCCCCGACACTGACAACGCGGTGTGTTTCCTGCGGCTGAACAATAAAACACACCGACACCGACAACGCACCTACCAACAAGCCGGTTCGAGGAGTGGACAGGCTGGTGCCTCTTGGTTGTTCTGGCTCTTTACGACTTGTGTGCCGTGCTCACTCCCTGCGGTCCCCTCAAGGCCCTCGTGAACCTCATGCAGGTGCGTGGCGTTTTCAGCTGCTGTTTGGCTTCGTTGTAGCCACGCTCGGCGGTTGTTTGGTATGTTAGGTAGGCCTTGAATGGGCGCCGGTAGGAACGGCAATGATGCACAGATGTGTGTTTTTCTCTTTAGTGGTGTCATGATCAATCTGATTCAACTCTCGTCGCATTATGGCAACACTTGTTCTGCTGGGCGTGTTCATTCCTGTGCAGTTTGAGGTTTGTCTGGTGTGTTTTGAGCGGCGCTGGTTGTGCCCGGTGTCCTTGGCGTTGCCCTCAGTCACAGCCGGCGCCTGTCTGTCCGCCTGCCTGTCTGCCTGTCTGTCTGTCTCTCTGCCTTCCTGCCTTCCTGCCTGCCTTCCTGCCTCCCTGCCCCTCTCCTCCTCGAAAACCGACCTCCTTCGTCTCGGACGTAACGCACGAACCTCCGGCAGGAGTACGAGGAGCCGATGCCTGGCCTACTCTACGAGGCAGAGCTCCCCGCGGGCCCCCCACGCCGACGTCGCCCTGAAAATGATCGACGGGCCCCCTCCCAACAGCAAGCACGACGGGAGCAGCCAGGGGCCACCGGGGGTCCGCAAGAGGGTGACGTCTCTTCTTCGCCGAGAGCACCCGTCGGCACCGCTACAATGGGCGGCGGAGGGTTGGCGGATTTGGCCGGGGGAGGCGATGAGGAGGGGGGGAGAGGGGCAGACGATGAGACGCCGGCGGCGCCAGTGTCAGCAGAAGCGGCAGCGGTTGTCGAGCCGCAATCGTCGTCGCCCGGAGGCGACCACAGCTCTGCGAGGAGACCCGGCGCGGACAGCGCCGGCGCAAGCGAGTCGGTAGCCGCGCCGTTGCTGGAGCTGGTCGAATCAGGCACGGCGGCGGTGGCGGTAGGAGACGCTTCGGCCGATGGAAGTGGAACCAGAAGCGGTCGCGAACAGGTTAGTAGCCCGCGGGCGAGAGGGGCCGCCCCCCCTGCTGCTGCTTCTGGCGACTTGGACAGCGGTGCTGCTGTCAGCCCCCCACCCCGCAGGGGAAACGCCGCCTCGCAACGGTTCGGAGGGGCATCCGCGGAGGGGGATGCCTTGATCCAGAGCCCCCGGGGTGGCGGACGGTCCAGGCGGAGAAGAAGGTATTGGTCGAGCGTATGCACGAGGTGCAAATCGATTGGTCCGTTGCCTCTGGCAAGGCTCTGTGACGGGTGTTCGTAGTATGTATGTACACAGGGAGAGGTGCTCGAGGTGTTGCTTTATGGTTCGATCGGGTTTGGTATCTGGTACCGGTAGTCGCCCGTGCAAGCACCTGCTTTGTTTTTGTGAATCAAGAATACAACTTTTGAGTCAACTGCTTTGGTGTTTGGTTGCGTCGGAAACGTTTTGCCCTGCGGGCGGACCAATCGATGGTAAGCGGGGAGCAGGGATGGCGTCGCCATTTCTATGGTCGTGTCGTTCGTCCTTTGGAAGCTGCCAGCGACGCTCCTGGCCTTGTTGGGCATTTTTTCTTTCTTTCCTGTACGGAACGAAGGCGAAAGACAAAAAATAGAACAACTTATTGTCTTGAACAATATATAGAGGGCCGGATCGGGGGTAGGAGGGGCCGAAAACGGGGAGACGTTGCAGCATGCATCACCGGTGTAGTGTCGTGCTCCTCGAAACACCATCCATGACCAAACACCATGATAGCCGTCAGATTGCGCAGCTCTAACCTCCCGCTCAGATCGTCGTCTAGCGGTTGCTGATTGCCCTTGACAAGCGTCACGCGTACTGCCCCCAGCTCGTTTCGTTCAACCCCTGAGTCGCTTGAGCACGCAGCGCAGTGAAAAGGGGAGTTTTACTTCCGCCCCATGGGCTCAGCATGGACTTTCCCTCGCTCTCCGTGCGGTGAACGTTGCCTAAGGAGAGCAGAATGTAAGGAGGCACTTATTTGGCATCAGCACTTGTTCCTTCTGGTAGTGACACAACACCGAACCGAATGTGACCGTGTCCGATTGCTTAGCTTGAGCTTTTCTCTCCTGTCCCGACTTCCAGCAGGGCGGCGGCCGCGGCGGAGAACGACGAAGACGAGGAAGAGATGGGCGTGTCGATCAAGCTTGTGAGTTTTGCCTTTTGTTGCCGCTGGCTGTGGTGAGGGTGTGTGGGCTACTTCAGCATGGAACGTGCTGCTGGGCTGGCCGATCAAATACGGCTTCAGTTCTGAACGGGGGCATATCGAACAGCCTAGGGATTTGTTTGAGTGTGGTTTGTATCGTGCTGTGTTCCCGAGAGTGTGTTCCGTTTCACGGTTTATATCTTGTTCCGTTTCATCCCGGTGCGGGTTCGTGTTTTGATTTGTGGTGTGTTCCTCGTGGCGGTTCTTCCGCCGACTGCGCCAAGCATATTTTTGCTTTGCTCTTCGCGGAATCCCACTTCCTTTTGGTGTTCCGTGGAAGACGCGTCCCATTTTCGGTTGTTTACGGTAGGCGATACTGACCTCACAAAGAGAGAATAAATCGAGGTCGAGTACCGTTAACAAGTTCTCAATGCCATCGGAGCAGCTCCCGTAGTGCTTCTTGCTCCCTGCTGATGGAGGCGCAAGGTGCGGTGTTTTTTTGCTCGAAAATATTCGTACAACTACAGAAAGACTACCCGTTGGAGGTAATCTCCCAATCGAAGATATTTGTCCAGTTAAATCGGAGGGATTTGTTCAATGAAGTCTTCGTCTTTGTAGCAGTGAGTTTGGAGATCAACCAACGTTATGCCGACGCCGCCTGCCCGGCCAGGGACTCGGAGACTTCGTGTTTTACAGCGTTCTGGTGTCCAAGGCGGCACTGTACGGCTTCACGGCGTGGGCGGCCTGCGTGGTGGTGATCGTCTTCGGCCTGGGGGCGACCCTCGTGCTGCTGGCGGTGTACAGGATGGCCTTGCCCGTGAGTTGCCGTTGCCGTAGTTGTGGTATACGATTGGTGGCGTTGCGTTGTAGTTGTTGTTGGTGCTGCCGCTGTTGCTATGGTGGTGCTGCTGCTATGTTGGTGCCGTTGCTGTGTTGTTGCTGCTGCTCCTCCTCCTGCTGCTACTGGGTCTGTGTTGGCGCTGCTACTTTTTGTTCCGGTCGACTTAGCTCGCCATGTCCGCGGAGAGGAGAGACATGTTGATGCCTACCGGTAAGTCTTCGACCCGTGGAATAGGTAGTCAGCGCTGACTTCCTGTAAAACCGCCTTTAACAGCGGACAATTTCTATCGCCATTCCTTTTTACGCTCCTCGTTTTTAGTCTGCTACCGCGACGTTGGTGCTCCATTTTCAAAGATTTGCGTGAGTTTTGTTCACTTTATTGATAGATTATTACGACGAACAAACTTGAGCAAGCTCTGAAAGCGCACCACCAACCTCACGTCAGCAAGCCGCGAAGGAGAAATAGAATCGTGCCAGGGATGATGAAAGAAATTGTCCGCCGTTTGAACTTTTTATTACAGAAACACAGGCGCGACCCGCGCGAGTGAGTGAATTTGGCCCCGCCGTACAGCAGTGGGCTCTGAATATCGTCAGCGCTGCGCGACCTAGTTTTTCCACGCTAGCGACTAGAGAAGACTGGCAGATGGGCGTGTTAGGTGGTGTGGTGGCTATTCACCAGGAAATGCACAACTATTAATAACAGGTGCAGGCTGTTGATATGAATTATGACCATCCAATCATGGTATATATTGCTTCCCTTGTTGTCGTGTTGTTGTCTCTCCCCCCCCCTTGCAGGCTCTACCCATCTCGATTGGCTTCGGGACGGTCTTCTACCTTCTGACGAGGTTCTCGATACAGCCCTACGTGGAAGCCCTCAACGAGACGCCGCTCTACTTTTGAGAAACTAATCTTCCACCCCCGGTTCACCTTTAGCAAAGTGGTAGAAATTTACCATCGGTGATTGGTCCTGTGGGAACAATCTGCCGTCCTTTCGAGGACGCGTGGTGAATGGTCCAACAACCGCTGGGGCATGCGAAACATGAGTACCCCGCTCCCCCCGGTACACGGCGGCGGTATTGAGGTGTTTCCTGGTGTGTGTTGGTTGATTTTTTTAGTGTTTCGCCGAAAACAACGTTTCTCTGCTTGGGAAGACAGTAAGTATGCGCATTTTTTATATCAGCGGGTGCTCCATGTTTTTTGAAGCAAGGCATCGGGAGAGGGAGAGAGCGTTGGGCGAGGCGAGGGGATTTGTATCACCGGTTCTTCAAAACCGCAGCCGTTCATGCGGCGCTCTGGTGACAGGAAAGGCCAGCAGTACCAAGAGTTGATGATCCCAATAACGCTCCCATGGTCCTAAGCAATGGTTACGCCATCACTGCAGAGGGTAGAGCGCCCCTTCAACTCCTTTTCATTTTTGAGGCGCAATTGCTGCAGGTACATGGGGCAGAATCGATCGACTTTGGAAACATATCAAGGCACGTACCATGGGATGGCCAGTCACCGGTGTAATCGCGTTGTACTAGGATTTACTGGTTTCAACACATGAGGGGGGTGGGCTCCAAATGCTCCCAAGCGTGCAGGTGGGCGTAGAAATTGGCGAGCAAGACGCCGGCGTTCTGACCGTGGCCTGTGCCACCGTCGCAACAGGTGAAAGCTTAGCGGCGACCGGGACTTTTGCAGGGTAAACCTGCCTCACCTTTACATGTGCACGCGAAAGACTATTAGGTATCTTCCGCCACGCTTGTGTACTGGCTATTGGTTTAAGGATGCGCACAGGCATGGTACGGAGGTGCCCGGTGGATCTCAGGGTGGTTCCTCACACCATCACCACCTTCGATCGCCAAAACAAGTATCGCCGGCCCCTGAGCAAGAAACCCTGGGATAATTCAGCGCAACCGCGGCACCCTCGCGCCCAGGTTCTAAGTCAAAGTCGCCTGTTTTAGAGAGTGGCAATATTTTCTCTCGCTCGTTCTTTGTGTCCTTGAGCGCAGAATGTACAAAGAGAACGTCGCCTTGAGAGACAAGCGAAAACCCCACGCACGCGTACTTTCGCGGGACCATGGGGTGCATAACAACAGGCATTTAGACGCATATTTAGGTGGGCGTTGGGAAATAAACAACGAACTGTTGTTGGTTCAGTCGCGTACCCTTCCCGGCACCGACAGTTAGTTGCTGAACTCGAGAAAGTCTGGATATATTCAACATCCCGAAACGGCGAGCCTTGCTGTGTTTTCGCAATCGGCTGCAGCGTCAGCTCCGGTGTACACACCAACGGAACCAACCTCCCGATGGTGTATTGTAGATGCCAAGGACGCGAATCAGCACCATGGACGAACAGACGATTTTCTCGATGTGCACTGCCTTTAACTTTTCCCTTCAGTTGAGACTTGATGAACCGTGACGAGTTTTTACTGCTGCCGCTGCTACTGCACTAGCCTATCCCCTATGCCGCAGTCCCAGGCAGCGTACTGCCATCAGACCCATCATGACTCGTGTCATCCTAGCACCAAATACAGCACGAATACCGCCGGACAAGACTCTATCTCAGCACTTCCTTGGAGCATAAAAATGCACTCAAGATATCGAGAGCGACGTTCGCCGGGACATGCGCCTCAAGACTCCACGGGGGAGCAAACAGTTCTTCCCGACTAATCGCATGGAGGGCTGGAGCCTCCCTCCCGCTAGCTCTACAAGCCAACACCCCCGCTTCCTCGACACAAAAAGCATAGGAGACGGACATACATACATGCGCGCCTCGGCGCGATTTCCGTCCTCTCGCACGCAGCCAGTACCCCCCTCGCTGGGTAGCCGTCCATCTATGTACACCCCCATGAACCTAGTTATGCTCTATGCACCTCTGTTTAAGACGACCTCTAACTATATATAAGTCCCGCCGCAAATCGAGCGGGGCGGAGGTGGGAGGGAAGACCGCCCGCACTAAGCGAAGAAAAGACAGGCGGGAACCCACAACCACCGGCGATCCGGTGCATGAAAGTAGAACATGAAGCATAACAATCCGCGTCTCACAGCGCACCAAGCCAAACATTACGAAACGGCAGTGCATAAGCGCTTAGTGCTGCCGTTTTCGAGAATTCTTGCACGTGGCAAATAGTGATTTATTTCCCAGTCGTCCAGTACGTGATCCTGGGAACAACAATGTTTCGTCTTCTATTTCAAACCTGCTAACCACCAAGTGTACTTCTATGTTCCCCCGCCGCACAGCCTCTTATCTAAACGGTGGAGCAGCATGGTCCAACCCGTTGACGCCGATGTGATACGGTTGCTGTTTCTTCTGTCTACGAAACCTCTCCCAAAAAGGCGGCTAGTTCTTCAGCCCTCTCGCTAGAGCCCACGATTTTCTGGCTCTTCACACGATTCCCGGCAAAAACAGCAATTATCCTTCCAAGCGTACTGCTGTAGCAGTCAGTAGCCGGAGAGACCGGCGGTAAACAACACCAACAGCAACAACCATGGCATTCTCGCACGTTCGGTCAGTCGCTGAAAGCCACACGCGCTGGCTGGCGCTTGCGGTCACACTACTGCAGCCACACGATCGCAACCGTCGTGTTGTCCGTGGACCCCCTTCTCAGCGCCTCCTCCGTCAGGTAGCCCGCCATCTTCTTCTTTCGGAGCATCGTGGCCGCCCTGTCATCATCATCGGCGACGGTACGCGGCACAAAATTACCTAGCCGAAATTTTCTGCCAATCCTTGGTCACACGTCCACTTCGACTGCTGTGGTATTTATCTCGAACGGCAAATATCTCTGTGTTTGCATGCACATTAGCTGAAAAAGCAATATCGGTAGGGGGTACACAGCCAGGAACAAGATGAGGGTGTCATTCCCATCATCGGCACACACCACGACAGAATATGAAAAAAGCTAGCCAGCCACGGGCGACGATGCTTTCTCGACCATCATTCCACCATATGCACATATTGAACTCAAGCAAGCCAACTCTTGACAAGAGTGTGCAACATCGCTGTATGTACAACACGTACATACATATACCTTACATCATCCCACCTGATCATTCCTCGGTCCTCGGCGTAGCTTTGCGTCCAGTTTACAAGAGTCATGTGAGCTGGCCGACCAAAGTCCCCGCACAAACCAGAAAAAAAAAAACAGGGAGGGGGGGGGGTCATCAAGAGGAGACAGACGATATGGTCGAAGTCTGATGTCATGTCGACATGGAAATAATGCGCAAGGAGCCATCGTTGATTGATTCGGGGTCGGGTTCGCCGATACAGTCGAAGCGATACAGCGGAAGATAGTAGGGGGGGGAATGCTCTTACAAAAGAAATAAACAACCAACAACAACGGTTTCAAAGGGCGGAGAACCTACAATACGCTCAGTTGTGTCCTTGGAACGAACGAGCACCAGCTTCAAAACACGCCAGAAACAGATAACAGCGGCATCGCAGAAACCGTCCGAATACGGAGCTGCCCTAATTCACACATTCCCTGTGCACACGTAAGCGTACCATCCCATATCCCACATCCCGGGACCCCAAAAAGTAGTTTCGTGCACGACCAGCGCGTGCGTGTTCCGCATCCCCCTAAAAAAAACGCCGCAAAGCAGCAACGGCACACGTGAGTCGCTTCTACCCGCAAGCCTTTCCCTTCAACGACTCACGGGGCTTGCCCGCTTCCGCGCCCGAACCTCCGGCCTTGTCGCCGACGCCGCCGCTCCACTTGTCCCCCTCCTTCCCCGACCCCATGGCGCCCCCCATGACGGCGTGGACGTACTGAACGGCCTCCTCGGAGGACATGACGTCCCACAACCCGTCGCTCGCCAGGATGACGAACTGGTCCGTCTCGCGCTTCAAGTCGATCGTCTTGATCTCCACCTCGGCTGCGCGCGGGGTTCACACGAGGAGGAAAAGTTTTGCCGTAGGGGGGGGGGGGGGGAGTTGTCGGCGACGAAGTACGAGGCAAGCAGCACCCGTTCGAGCAAGAAGAGGAAGACGGTTGCCTCTCCATGTCAGAAAACCTGAACATTCGGGAGTGTGCATTCTAAATTACAAATAGTCAATCGATATAAAGGTAACGTAGGGGGCAAGTTGCGCAAGATCAAAGTGAAAAAGGAAGACCGGTGCCTCTTTAGCTTCTTAGAAGGGATAATAATGTTTTGCTTCGAGGGCGGAGAAATCTCTGCCTGTTCAAGATTACCGTGCTCTACCAGCGGTGGTAGACACTGCTGTCTACCGCAACGTCTAGATTTGTCGAAATGTGCTGGTACGGGGCAAACAAAAGGTACCCAACGAGGTCGGAGTCGCAACCCACGATGGCCGTAACCTGAAACTCTCGAACATGTACTGCTGCCGTCCGCACTTTCTCCGCGGTTCGTCCGTCTATATACGGTTATTAGTCGTGACCCAATCCTACTTCCGACCAAGACCACCGCCACGACCACTGACAGCAGCAGCAGCAGCAGCAGCAGCAGCAGCAGCAGCAGCAACAGCTCATCATTACAAACAACAACCACAACACGACACAAAAATAAACAGCAGCAGCAATACCAACAACAATGACAGCGTACGCACCCGATAGCCAGGGGCGGTAGTCGATGTCCCCGATCGCTCTTGCGACGGCAAGGCTCCCGTTGATGCGGTAAACGCCTGTCCCCTCTATCTGCAGGCCTCGAGAGCATTCGAACCCCTCCCACGTTACCATCCCATCATGCCTAAAAGCCAAAAATTAACCAGTAGAAAAGAGCGTCGGGGTGGGATGGGATGATGAAGTCCAAATGCAGCACACACATCGACATCACCGACAACCAAAAACTCCTGCGTCGCCTGCACTACAAGCTAGACACCCTTCTGTCGCCAGCATACAAGGAGAAAAAATAACGGACGAACCGAAATCGAAAAACGGAAGAATTTCAAACACTATCGAGTCGCCGGTTAGAATGCCAAGACGACGTGTTTGGCGTCGTCATAATAACGCTCCCATCAGTAACGGCGGAGATACCATCGCAATCAGTGGGCGAGCAGCCAGAACGACCAACTACCGCGGAAATGTTTGAATAGCTGAAGGTGAGGTCAGCAATGGGGTAGGTAGGTGTCCCTTCGCGACCCGGGTGTATTAGGTATTCCCCCCCGCTATAAATGCCAGACCTACGACACTTGGCATCCGGAGGGTTGCCTTCGTTGTCGTGGACAAATGCGCTAGGCATTGGGGGCACGCCGGAAAAACAAATGGGTACCCACACACCTCCCTGCCTAGCGCTTCTTCGGCCGACTGTCGTATGCGACACATGAATAAAGAAACAGCAGTAGACGCGTCTCAGACGCGCACCTGAGTTCGTCTCCACAGCAACAAACGGTAGATGACAAAATCGACACCCGATGCTACTACAGTACTCTTTCAGAACGCATGACACACGGTAGGGGCTTCAGCTTCACCGCGTCGCTCATAGAGACCCCCCGAAAGCAATTTTAGAGAGATGGAAAACATTTTTGAGCCACCTTTGGCAAAGTAGGAAGGAACGATTGGCCGTCGGTGAACGGTCCTGCGTGAACAATGCTCAATCCTCTAGAGGACGCGTGGCCAATGGTGTAACCGCTAAGGCATGCAATACATGACCCCCCCCCCTTCCTGCACCTGTAAATTCGCTCCATCTCTCTAGGGGCGTTGGGCTTGTGGTCCTCCGTGAGGTCCAGAGCTTTCCCTCCCCTGCTCAGCACCGCCCTGGCGATACGTTACGATGCAACGGGAACACAAACAGCGGGAGCAAGCGTCGTCCGGAGGAACGATCATGAACATGCAACGATCAACCTGTATGTATCGTTATCGTTTTCCGTGGAAGACTCTTTGAGAACGAAACCGTTGGCATCGACGACAAGAGCAGAAGCAACATCAAGAGCAACCGCAGCAGTCAAACACGCAGAGAACATACCGCTGCTGCACCGGGATCCTTGGGTCATTACTGTCTACCTTGAGACACACGGAGTGAGTGTGTCTGATATGATCGCAGAAAAAAAAATCCCGAAGACAAGTACCACCAGCACGACCGACAGCTCCAGACAATTGGGCGCCACCACCATGAAAGACAGGACGCACCCCTTCCACTTCCAAAACCATCGCACATAAGAAAAAAACAGAACCCACCCCCACACTTGCACACCAATACACTAGCCGTTCCAACCACTTGCGAACCTTGCCCCCCAGAAGAACCCCCCCCCCCCCTCCCCTCTTCAACGCGGGT